GGAGTTGCTCCCCTTCTTGCACCTCAGTTTCCTCAGCCATAAAACAGCTGTACGACTGGCCATACTGAACTGAGTGATAGTCCCTCTAGCACAGTAAGTTGCTTTCCAGCAGTGACCAATGCCAGAGGGAATGCACAGAACAGGGCAATTTTCAAGTGGTCAATCCTAGCTTTTAGCAATCAGAGGGACACCCAGAGCAGGGGATTACATCCCAGTCCATCTTGGCCTTTCCTCCATAAACTTATCTAATTCTTTTTGAACTACGTTATACTTTTGGCTTTCACAACATCTCCTGGAAATGAGTTCCACAGGTTGACTGTATGTCGTGTGAGGGAGGATTGAGAATGATATCACCCCCCTTTTGTAAAGTGGTTTGAGACCTACCAATGAAAAGCGCTAGATGGTGGCATTATTACACGACTGAGTTCAAGAGATGCTGACCCCTTTTCCTGAAGCAGTAATTGGAAGCAGTCTGTATTTGGGCCATGATCCAAAGTCTATGAATACAGTGGAAACACTCTCATTAACTTCAGTGGATTTTGGATCAGACCATTATGGTTTTACCACTATAATGAAACAACATGGTTGCTGATTTAGGCATATGCACCGATTGGCAAACACCCATCTGACCAATAAACTGTTGGGCAAGAGGAATCTTTGTCAAAGAGTGTCTGTCTCTCCACAAGATCTTGGTCACAATTTGGGGTTGCAGCAAATAGTACTGACTTCCTTAGAACCTTTGCAGACCTTCCCTGATTTCAGTGAAGACTGGTGGGCAGCAATGCAGCTCATCGTGAATACAGATGTGAAAGTTGTTTAATTGCCTCCAAACCACTGTTCTGTAGCATTCTGTAGTTTGTCCTTAAAAAATCAGTTGTAAGAAGAACATCTTGGAACCAGCTGATGCAGAATGTGGAATTCATCCTTTTGTGAGCTGGAGAGTAGCTAATATTCTGTCATGCACTCTTAAAGCTCATCAATGACACCAAAAGAGAAAATGAGGGTGATGCTTTCAGGACCCATATGTGTTTATTCCAGTTTTTTTTAATTATGAGGAAGCCAACCATCATTTGAGTGGATGGACATTGCCAGATATTATCAAGGCACTCACACTGTACTATTTATTATATGGTAAGTACTCATGATGCTTTTGGAGATGTCTATGCAGCAAATTACTACTTTCCTCTAGCTGGACTTCAGAGCCCACTCTCCAGTCCAAGCCTGACCACCTACATGATATATTTATCCCTGTAGCATGGGACTTGTGAGCCCAAGTCTGTTGACCTGTGCTCTGAGACTCAATCTTCTTGTTTAGTATCAGAGAGGTAGCCGTGTTAGTCTGAATCTGCAAAAGCGACAAGGAGTCCTCATGCATCTGACGAAGTGGGTCTTTGCCCACGAAAGCTTATGCTCCTACACTTCAGTTAGTCTATAAGGTGCCACAGGACTCCTCGTCGCAATGTTCTTGTTTGGCTGTGTAGATGAATGTCTCTAAATCATACCACAAGGGAAAAGGATTACTACGTGTAACTATGACGCAATTGACATTTATTAGGTAGTAACAACATGACATTAACCAGTAAAACACATTAAGAACCAAATCCCATTTTCATTATCCCCACTTGAGTCAGTGGGTTTGCACCAGATTTACACATGCGTAACATAGAGCAAAATTCCCTAAATTATGATGTGGGTAAAGAACCCAATTTCCTGTTGCTTTGAGACTTGTCAACTTATTTAAACCTGAGTAAAGTGTGTGCCATTCTGATGTGTTAGTGTTTTACACTCACTTTGCTCAAGCATAAATAAGTACTCAGTGGGGGTATACTATTGTATCCTGATGCTTAAAGTGTTATTGCACATTGCAAATCAATGTCAGTGTCTTTCAGTTCATTATCTTTCAAAGAGCAAAAGGAATCTGTTGGCTGGAAGTAAAACGATGCGAGGGCAAATTGCTAAGTGGGAGTTAAGTGGAAGTGAAATGTGTGAGATAAAAATACATTGCGCTGTATATATTTTCATTACCCAAATTGGTTATGTCTTACAGCTCAAGTCTCGTGTTCTGATGACTCCTTTAGCAATCTCTCCTCCAAGAAGCACACCAGAACCTGATATTAGTTCAATCCCTCAGGATGCAGCTACAATACCCAATTCAGCTGCCCCACAAGCTCTCACTGGTATGTTGACTCAAATGCCACATTGCAAAGCAGTGGGCAGGTACAGTAGTTTGATAGCTGGGTGCTTGTGCTTTCTTAAACAGACTTAATCCATAAAAAATACAGACAGAAGGATTTAATATGTTTGCCAACTAAACTGGTTGCTAAACACATGGACTAAAGATGGAGCCTTCTAATCTGTAATTTTTTAGAAGACTGTAGTGCATTTTGACTGAATAATGTGAAGGTAGGCTAGGAGAATCAGTGGGCCTGATTCTCCTTTGTTCTGCACCTTGGATAGTCACTTACTTCTGTGCAAAGTTCACGTAAAACAATAACCTTGTGATGTTGTAGCATTTGATATGTACTTTTTACAGGTGGGAATACCTGTACAAGGTACAGAAAAGTGGACACTTGGGCCCATGTATAGAAGTCCTGACTCTATGTTTTTAAAACAGGTTTGGAACAGAGCTCACATCTGTCCCCCCAGGAATAAATATATCCATAGCGGACTCATGGTGGCACTTGGAAGGTACACTGCCCCCTGTGCCCCTGGCAACATTTTAATTGCTAAACAGGGGTCCTCTTTATGCCTCCTCTCTGTTTCTCTGAGTGGCCCTCCCTGCTCTCCCTCCCACCTCTTGCAGGCACCAGTCACCTATGATTATAATAAACCTCTCCCATGCACTTATATTTCTAATATCAGAATTGCTCTGGCACTGATGAAGCCTTAACTGGAATCAGTGGTGTAGTACAAATCTAAGGCACCTGTTAATTTAATTTTGGGAAAAGAAGAAACTTATATTTATTGGAGAGAGAAGAATATGATCTAATGTCTCTGAGTCAGATCCTGAATGATGTAAGTCAATACTAGTTCATTAAAGTCACTTCTGCTTACTCATACCAGCTGAGGGTTGGCCCTTTTTAGCTGACGAGCTTTAACGATTTATGGAAAACATGGGCCTGATTCTTTTCTCACTGACGTTGGAGTACATTAGGAATTACCATTAAGTTAGTGAAGTGAAACTCATGTAAGTGAGAGACAAATCAAGTCATAATTTGGGGGAGGATGGATTTATTCTGAGACTTACATATAGAGACAGGATTGATAATGCTAGAAATAAATAAACTCCAAACCCCTTCTTAGCTCAAGCATGGAAAGAAAAAATATCTCCCTTCTGCTTTGGTAGCAGTCTAATAACAATATAATATTTTGCATTTATTTAGTTCCTCACATTCTGGGTCACAGAGTGCTTTACATATATTAAATAACAGAACTTCACAATACCCTGTGAGATAAATATTGTTTTCCCTGATTTACAGAGAGCTAAGGTCAGGCACAATAGAGAAGTGACTTCTTCAAGTCTGTGGCATTGCTGGGAACAGAATTCAATGAAATTTGAACTCCTAAATCATCTAGGTACTTCCCCTTCAGTCTCCTGAATGTCAGAAATCTAAGTGTCATCTGGGAACCTCTCCTTCCACCAAATCCTTCTTACTCAATCTTATAACCAAGAATAGGGTGCTACAAATAATCAAATCCAGTTTTAGGCAAATGAAGCAGATCCCAGAGCCAAATTCAGAAATACAAACACAGATCAAAATTGAGACTTGATATTCTATTTTATCAGAGGTCCCCAAGCCATGGGGTGGAGGAATGTTTGGGGGGAAGGGTGCAGTGGGGCCCTATCCTTATGGGGGATAGGAAGGGAGTGCTAACCAGCCCTGCCGCATTCCCAGCTCTATACTGGCCCATCCCCTCACCCCAGCTGCAGCCCTGACTCCTGACCCCTGACCTTGCTCCCAGCCTCAGCTCCCAAACATGGCTTCGCCACAGCTCCATACCTGACCTTAGCCCCACTTCCAGCCCTGGTCCTGCCTCCAGCTTGGCCCCCCCTTGTCCTTGTCTGCAACATCCCCTCCCCCTCCAGGAGTCAGCTTCCAGGAGCTGTCAGCTCCATCTCAAGAGGGGTCATAGACAGTTTAAGAGGAGGCACCACTCTTAAAAGTTTGAGGACCACTGTATTACATCTTACGTTGTACTTGATTAGGAAATCTATTCTCTAAGAGCTTTCCACAGTTCACAGACACTGTTTATATTTTTAACTACATTGCATCTTTCGGTGTACAGCACTTTGAAGATATAAGGCACAATGTCATGTTAAGCATTATTGCTATTATATTCATATTTGCCCAGGATTTATTGCTGGAGTCCTTCCCGTTAGAGTGCAGTCTGGCATTAGCACTAGATTTTCATCAGGGTGATGCAAACTGTACATTACTCCCAACATTACACAGCTGTCACCGTGTCCTCCGCTAGGTTTAATATTTGTTGTGACATATCTGATTTCTGTCAGAGGATAATGTTATATTGTTGGGAAAAGGACAACCCTAGCACACACAGCCAGTTATTATAATATATCTTCTTTTTCACTTACCCAGGTCTGCTCGTCTAGAGTCCCCCTGAAACTGAGATAATCCCAGAGGGGTAGCCATGTTAATCTGGATCTGCAAAAGCGACAAGGAGTCCTGTGGCACCTTATAGACTAACAGATATATTGGAGCATAAGCTTTCGTGAGCAAAGACCCACTTCGTCAGATGTATCTGACAAAGTGGGTCTTTGCCCACGAAAGCTTATGTTCCCATACATCTGTTAGTCTATAAGGTGCCACAGGATTCCTTGAGATAACCTTGTGCATGATTAAACAAGGCCATGGCTAGCCTTGTCTTAGTGTAGCTGGGGCCCTTAACTATGCTATAAACCATTTTACAAACGCTGCTGCAGAAGATTTCAACATGCTGCTGCCTACACAGTTTTAATCCCAGCAGTGCCCTCTGTTGGGGAGTTACTTGTCATATATTTTTACTATTGTCCTCTATTCCAAACTTTTGCAATACAAGGACAACCTTTTGCCTTCACTTCTGAGGGCTTGGGATGGATGGCAATGCAGGGTACGATGACTGCTAATGCGCTTGGAGGTGGCACAGGCAGCAGTTCTCTTCACTTCTGTTTCAGAAAGAATCAAGGTGTTTATCTCCCAGTGCCTGTTGCAGGACAGCAATTTTTATACACAGCCCCAGGGGCCTAGCTATGCTCACACTCTGCCTAGCACTCACCCCTAGCAACCACCTTTCTCTGAGGCTTCTATGCATGACCCGGCGTACAGATCACGCTCTAGCTTGCCCTCACCCTCTAGCTTGCACAGCCCCACTGCAGATCATGAATGGTCTGGAGGACCTTCCCGTGGGGCTTCTAAACTCTGGGCTTAATTTCACTCTAAGCGAGAAACTTTTCTCTGGTCATCTGACACAATCAGATAAAAGCGCCTGGGGTCTGAGCTCAGGCGTCTGTGACAGCCCCTGTGAGCTGGTGCAGCGACAGAGCCGAGCACATCAGGAAGTTGGAGTATTGAGTGCGACTCAGGCCTTGTTTACACTACGCGGCTATAGCAATCAATCCCCCAGCCATTGATTTAGCATGTTTGCTTAGACGCTATAAATCAATCTCTGAGCATACTCCTGTTGATGCTGGTACGCCACCAAACAAGAAGGTTATGTCTACACTGTGCCTGTTCAGCGCAACTAATACGCAAATGAGGTGAAGCGTGAATATTGCCGTGCCTCATTTGCATAATTAATTAGGCTCCATTTTTGTGCAAGAGGCTTTTCCGCAAAAAGGAGCCATCTACACGGTTCCTTTTTGTGCAAAAAAACCCTCTTGCATAAGAGCTGTTCTGCCACATTTTTTCAGGAAGAACGGCTTTTGCGCAAGAGGGGTTTTTGCGCAAAAAAGGAGCCTAATTAATTATGCAAATCAGGTTCTGCGATATTCCACACTTCGCCTCATTTGCATATTTCTTGCGCCAAACGGGCGCAGTATAGACATAGCCAAAGAGTAGCCAGCGTCAATGGGAGAGCAGCCCCTGCCAACCTTACCACACGCAAGATGCCACAGTGAATATGTTGACTTCAGCTACACTATTTGCGTAGCTGAAGTAGATTGACGGTGCTGGTAAGTGTAGACAAGGCCTCAGTAGTTCCCAAGAACAAAATGCAATTTGCAATTCACTAGTAGGCCATAGTCCCAAGTAGCATACAGTACTGGCTTATTATCTTGATGTTTTACAGAGTTTGGAATAAGGAGTGGCTTCAAAATATTTGACTAAAAATACTATTTCTAAATAAGGTATATTAAATGTAGTTTTTAAATGCAAAAAGTGAACATTGGATTACAGTTTATTTTATTTTATATGCTGATATGCGTAGCACTCTAGTTTTACTTCAGGAAATATTGTAATCCTTACATACTGCACACTGTGGTGGACTGCAAGCAGGGGCGGATATAGGGCAGGACGAACGGGGTGGCTGCCCCGGGCCCTGGGTTTCAGAAAGCACCGCGCATGCGCCGTGGCGCCGCTGCGCATGCACATGGCATCACTGCGCATGCGCCGTGGCAAAGGGGGGGCCCCGCGGAATTATGCTGCCCGGGGCACCGCAAAACGGTCATCTGCCCCTGACTGCAAGCGACTGCTCTCAAGCAGACATCTATAGAATTTTTAGTAACTTTCTTAATTGCATGTATCTTGTCATTACTTATCAAAACCTATACACAGCCTATTTCTGCATGCTCTATTCATTCAATGGGAGCAAAACCAGCAGAATTTAGTCGTCTCATTTGTGTCACTGTGCATCATGATGTTTCACCCTCTTAATTCAATATCATGAACTATACAAAACAGTAAACAAGGTTGGTTGTCAGGTCAGTGTCTTGTAATAAAAATTGCGCTGGGATTTTTGTGTTTGCAGTCTGCATTTACGTCAACAAACAGGCTAACGTGGGGCCATACCTTGACAGAAAAAAAGTGCAGCAGCTTCCAGATCACTTTGGGCCTGAAAGACCTTCCATGGTCCTACAGCAGGCAGTTCAGGCTTGCATTGACTGTGCACACCAGCAAAAGACTGTCTTCTCGCTTGTCAAGCAGGGCTATGGAGGCGAGATGGTGTCAGGTAAAACATTTTAAAAGGCTTTACAATAAATCTGAAAGTGCTATCATATCATAACCTTTCTTTTAAATCTCACGGTCATATCAGCGTTATCCAGCTCATTGTGCCAGCTACAATGAAGTTAGGAATTATTCTGTTGGAGTCAGTGGAATTGTACAGGTTTGAGATTACAATTAGGCCCCCGGTATATAGTATATTGGCACAAGAGGCTACTACAGTAGCTATTTTTTGTATGCTATTAACTGATTACACAGCCTAGTGTTCTTGTTATTGACCAAACCCATCATTGTGTTGGAAAATGTCATTTGTTTGGGCCTACAAAGCAGCCAATAAAAATTAAATATGATCAAAAGCACTTTAATGTTCTATCTGATTTCTAAATTAGTTTCTTCTTTTCTTCTAACATTTTTCCTGTTTCAAGGGTTTGGGGTTTTTAAAAAAATGTTTAATCAAACAGCAGGAAAAGAAGCAGTACTGAGGAAACAAAAGGATTGCCCTAACATGGGCTGTTTAAATTGAATTGTATAGTTACACACAACATTATCCATTTGCGTAAATTATATGCAGTACAAGCAGGTCAAATACTACTCCTAGGTAAAACTCCCATTGACCTCAATGGTCCAAGATTGCTGTCTGTGTACAATCCATAAGCAGATCTGCTCTCACAGTGAAGTGAAGCTTAACATGAATATTTTTTATAGAGCAGGAGGTTTGGGTTGTTGTTTTGGAATAAACGAATGCAATGAAAATAATAATTTACAAATCAGCTCCTGATGATAGTAAGCTGAAAGCAAGCAGTAAGGATGGAATCACTCAGGATCCAGTTCAACCTGCTTAGCAAGGACCACCCCAGCTTTGCCCTATCACTGAGACGCTCTGCTTTGTTGACCCATAGCTCTGTCCTGCTGGGCAGCACCTGGTGATTGATCTTGACTCCTTTTGTTTCCCCTTCGGACACTCGAACTCCAGCTACATCTTCCTTGAAAGACACCAGATACACTCAGAAAAATTATTTTAATTAATTCCTGAAAACATACAGCTCAGTGGTGAGCGATGCAGCTTATTCATTTATTCTTCTCTATTTGCATGAGTATGGGTCTCATTAATATTACTGGGTGTATTGCCCCATTGATCAGGACTGAAAAATTAATTGGCCTGCTGATTAGAATCAAACTCAAGCACCAAAGCTGGAAACCTTATTCCGATTTTTTTGCCTCCCCTCCCTCCCAGCAGCAACAGGCAAGGGATTAGAGTGATCGTCAGGAACAAATGACATTGCAGCTATTTCTGGGTCAGATTATACTGGGTCAGAACCTCAACTGACATGACTTGACACAGCACCACTGAAGTGTATGGAGTTACACGATTTACACCCACAAAGCATGTAGCCCATAGTCTCCCATCCCCAATAAGAAGCATCCAACAAACAGAGGAACATGAGTTGTTCCAGCAGGATGCAGTATGGGAACCTTCACCCTTTCCTTGGAGCTACCTCAGCAGATGAACTTCCTGAATCAAAGGGTATGTCTACACTACAAAATTAATTTGAACTAACAGCCGTTAGTTCGAATTAACTTTAATAGGCACTACACATACAAACCGCTAGTTCGAACTTAATTCAAACTAGCGGAGCGCTTAATTCGAACTAGGTAAACCTCATTCTACGAGGACTAACGCCTAGTTCGAATTAAGTAGTTTGAATTAAGGGCTGTGTAGCCACTAGTGGGAGGCTAGCCCTTCCCATTTTGCCCTGGTGGCCACTCTGGGCACAACCAGGGAATCTCTTCTGTCCCCCTCCCAGCCCCAGAGCCCTTAAAGGGGCATGCTCTGGCTACAGTGCCCGTGCCAGGTGCAAGCCTGCCAGCACCCAGCCAGCAGACCCTGCACCTGGCACAGCACGAGCCAGCCACCCGCTGCCACCCATCCATCCCCCTCTTCCCGGGACCAGGCTGGCGGTTCTCGGGAGCCTGCCCAGGACCGCACCCGCCTGGTTTAGTGCGGACATCATGGACCTCGTCCACGACCTCCGCACTAGGCACAGAAAAGGGGCCGTCTAGGGCAGGAGAGCTGCCAGCCTGGCCACCCAGGAGCAGGTGTGCATGAAAATGAAGGTGGTCCACTGAGACCCCCAACCCTGAGCCCTGAGCTTACAATGGGCGTATTGGGTCATACCAAAGGTCCATCTAGCCCAGTAGCCTGTCTGCCGACAGCGGCCAACACTAGGTACCCTGGAGGGGATGGACCGAAGACAATGACCAAGCCCTTTGTCTCGTGCCATCCATCTCCAGCCTTCCACAAACAGAGGCCAGGGACACCATTTCTACCCCCTGGCTAATA